TATCCAAAGTAATTGCAAAAACAGTTCCGATTTTTTATATTTTAATTTAATTAGATTGGTGCTGACCTCAAGAAACAATACTTGCCAGAGTTAAATATCGCAGTCTCTCATGAATGCACAGCAGGATACATTTACTAACATGCCGCGTACATCAATGTGATAAGCATTTAATTATTGAAAAGTGGTTAAAATAACATGTTTCCTCCTTGTCTTTCAAGGTATTAGCGAAACCAGATGTGCTTAATTATGCATGGAAACTAGATCAGAGATGATATCCCTCTAGGAAATGAACAAAAACGTAAAGAAAACATGCTTCAAACCTAATATTTTCATATTAGAAAGTAGTTCTAAGATTGATAGACTCATCAGAAATTAGTTCCAACATTGATGGACTCATCAAATTTAATCCTGAACTGAAAAAACAATATTCATAATGAGAACCTCTAGTGCGTACCCCTTTTTTTTTTTTTGGAGAAGAAGAAGAAGATGTCATCGTAGCTATAATTTCATCATTGGCCTTCGCTCGTTATATTAAATCTATCTTCACCAATTTCATTGACAGATTAATGTGTCCCTCAGCCTTATATCCATCATCTTTAGGCCTCACAAGGCCATAGCGGCCATCAGTTTTACTTGACAAATTCGGTAGAGGTATCTGAGCCCTTCCCACCAAGCTTATGCCATTAGAGGTTCCTGGGTTACTCTCAGAGGAGGATCCATACCTAAGCACCTCAACATACAAAAAGCTGCAATCCCTGGACTTGTCTAACTTCAAACGACACTTCTGGTTCCATACAGGATCTGGAGAGCCTACATCGCAAGATGTTGCAAGTTGATAATCTGGGTGAACCCAAAATACAACACGGTAATCCCTGGTGGTTACTGAAGGATAGGTGCTAGGGTTGTCTAAGCCCTCTGCATGGTCGATGCTCAAAAGCAAATCAATATCATAGTCTTTCTCTTTGGCTATTCTCTTATTCCTTGTAAACATTCTTCTTCTGTTCATCATCTTCATCTCTGTATCTTTGTTTGGACGACTTCTTTTTCTATCTAAACCAACCTACACGTAATTAATAGGAAGAAAAATAATCAGTTTAGCATCTAGTACAAAATCAAGATTGAGAAATTAATTATAATTTAACAAGTAATTAACGAAAAAGAAAGAAAGAAAGAAAAGAAAGAAAGAAAGAAAGAAAGAAAAGAAAAGAAAGAAAGAACACGTACAAATATTATACTTTGTCCTTTAATATTTCATGGACTGCTCCTACAAGAAAAGAAAACAGCTAACCGAGTGTTTCTGGTGCTCTATTCTCACATGCATAAAGAAAAACCATGTTGATGGAGAAGAAGAAGAGCAAGTGTTGATTTGAATTAAAAAGAAGAGAGAGAAGCTACAGGTGGTCAAATTCAAGAGGGGTAAATAACACATGATTTCGTTGGTCGTTTCAAGTTTTAGTAATTTAGAATTAAAAAGCTAGAAGAATCTTACTTGGATTCGGCGTCTTTGTAAGTATTGGACCCCACTACCTTTAGGGTTTCAAGTTCGCTTGAGATAGGCTTGTGATAGATTTATTTATTAATTTGATGGTGCCACGTTGTTTGAGATCTTCGGCAGGGAAGTAGAGGACTTGAAATAAAAAGAAATTATATATATCCTGGCACATTGCACCAAGGTTAAATTCACTCTACAGCCTATGAAATTCTTCTGAATTTTTATTTTTTATTTTGTACATGCTTAAAGAGAGTATGGATTTATATACAGGAGGGGGGGGGGGGAATTGGTGTAAACAAT